ATAACACACAAGGACCTTCACAATAAAACTCACGGTCCTTCACAATAAAACACCGGGTCTTCACAATAAAACACCGGGCCTTCACAATAAAACACCGGGCCTTCACAATAAAACACCGGGCCTTCACAATAAAACACACGGACCTTCACAATAAAACACACGGGCCTTCACAATAAAACTCATGGGCATTCACAATAAAACACACGGCCCTTCACAGTAAAACACTCAGGCCTTCACAATAAAACACAGACCGTCACAATAAATCACACAGACCGTCACAATAAATCACACAGACCTTCACAATAAATCACACAGGCCTTCACAATAAAACACAGACCTTCACAATAAATCACACAGGCCTTCACAATAAAACACAGACCTTCACAATAAAACACAGGCCTTCACAAGAAAACACACAGAACTTCACAATAAAATACACGGCTTAAATTATGGAAACATTTATGTTCACACAACAGAAACAAGCATTCATAAACTTTTTTCTTTTAATGATTTTCAGGAGAAAAAGACTAAATTCAGATGGAACTTGAGTAAACTGACACTATTTATTTTTAAAATGTCGATCTCTCTGCTGATTAGCCCAGCTGTTAAAAGGGAGCTCTTAAACCAATCAGACGCCTCCTCTTCGACGCACCACCTGCATCACATCACAGTGATGAGAGCTGAAGCCGGAGGAGGAAACCCAGCGACGCTTGCATAACCTCCGTTATTCTTTCCGGGGAAACTGCAGCACAGAGCTTTCTTTGTCCGCTGCACACTGACACTGGAAACTCTTTTACCCTTCACTGCAATTACAGCCCTCATATTATCCCTTAAACGCTCTTCATTTGTACGTTAATTCAGGACACATTATGCAGAATAAATCTAAGTGCTGAGTTATGGAGATAATTAAGAGTTTACATGGTTATTAATGTGAAAAGAGCCGTTAAATTTATCTGTTAATGATCCCTGACTGATTAACTTCATCTGGACTCAGTCTGATGTTTTTAAAGTCTCTAACGGTCCATCATTCAGGAAACAAGGCAAGCTGTTGTTTTAGCAGTTAGGCTAGCTGTTTAGTGGCTACACTGGCTAGCATTTTACACCTCTCTGTACTAAGCTAGCTCTAACACACCCTGGTGACTTTTAGCTACAATAATATTAGCTGTAGCTACACACAGCTAACTGTAGCTAATCGGTAGTTTAGTCTGTAAAAACACATTTAGTATTATATTAATACTTCAGGTAGCTTCATCTACAATAACATTTATTATATTAATAGTTCTGTTAGTTCCATCCATAACAACACATTTAGATCTCTTCTTCTCTGGTAAGTGTTAGCAGATGTCACCGTGGGCCGAACACCCCCCCACCCCCCTTTTAAACCTCTCTGGTTTGGACAGCGGTGCGGAGAAGAAGACGCTTTATTTTCCAGCTTTACATGAAGAGAGTTCAGACCCAAAGAAGACGAGGAAATCCCCAAAAACACCAGCGAGAGCTCAGGAACATGTGGAGCAGTTTAGACTGAAACAAGCAGCCTCATTATTGTTTCATGTGAATAGTGACTTTTATATTAGACTGATGTTAACATGCTGTAAATCACACTGGACCTGTTAAATATAATGAACATAATGAATTTAACATGATGTTTGTTTAAATCACTGTGTGAGGATTAGAAGTAACTAATGAAATAAACAGAAGCTGCACCATGTTTTCACAGAGAGCTTTTACATGTAGTCCATGTTCCAAAGTAGACCTGCAGATCTTAGTCAGTCCACGGCTGCTCCACACGCTCACCTGAAACACACCTGAAGCACACCTGAATGAGAAACACCTGAAAATACACCCGAAACACACCCCAAAGAACCCCCGAAACACACCCGCAGAACACCTGAAACACACCCCAAAGAACACCCGAAACACACCCGAAAGAACACCTGAAACACACCCCAAATAACACCTGAAGTACACCCCAAAGAACACCCGAAACACACCCCAAAGAACACCTGAAGTACACCTGAATGAAAAACACCCGAAACACACCCCAAAGAACACCCGAAACACATCCCAAAGAACACCCGAAACACACCCCAAAGAACCCCCGAAACACACCCCAAAGAACACCTGAAGTACACCTGAATGAAAAACACCTGAAACACACCCCAAAGAACACCCGAAACACATCCCAAAGAACACCCGAAACACACCCCAAAGAACCCCCGAAACACACCCCAAAACACACCCCAAAGAACACCCGAAACACACCCCAAAGAACCCCTGAAATACACCCCAAAGAACCCCCGAAACACACCCGAAACACACCCCAAAGAACCCCCAAAACACACCCCAAAGAACACCCAAAACACACCCCAAAGAACCCACAAAACGCACCCCAAACACACCTGAGCTCCTTGATAAGCCCCGCCCACAGCCACAGGGACACTGACGAAGAGAAAGTAAAATGACAAACTGCTGAAGCTTCACTGAAATCTAAAACCAGGTTTATGAACTGAGACTGCTTGGTTGTCAAAGAAACTAGTAAATACATAATATATATATATATACACATAAGAATGTATATATACATACATACATACACATATATATATATACATGTGTGTATATATGATAATAAGCCTATTTAAGAGGACAGTTAATGACATAAAACAGCAGCTGTAGACTCGTGACATTCGAACCCTCCATCAGAGGAACCCGATCCCTCTGAGCTCCGTCGTTACGTAAGCGAAGCTAACAGTCTCTGACAGGCCGGCTGAGTCCTGGTCCAGAACAATCAAAGGGGTACTTCTCACTGAGGACTGGGTTTCCCATTAAACCCCCACACGGCCAAGACCAGATACCTTCCAGCCACCGTCAGACCTCAAAAACACCTGCGGAACCAGAACAGCTCGGATCGGGTTCTCGTGACCCAGAAGGTGTTTTTGTTTTGACCCTCTTCCTCCTGGAACCATCAGAGAAAGACATGAAGAAGTATAGCGTCAGAAGGCATTGTGGGAAATGTAGGAAACCCCAGGCTTTAGCTGAGGCAGGTTCACTCCCTGAGGATCATGGGTTTTGTAGTCCTCCTCATGTTTCATGTTCACACGCTGTCTGAAGCTTAAACATGTGTCTGATATAATAAAGTTAGACGTCATCGTGATCTGGATCCAACATTTAATGAGACCCATGAAGAAGAAACAGAGTCCAGAACCTGAAGAGTCTGTTCCTCCAAAAACTGTGGAACAAAAACCCAAAATAGATTCATCTTTTCACACGTTTGACACAAAACCTTCCCAACAGCCCACTGTGGAAACATCTTCATCATCATCATCATCATCGTCGTCATCGTCGCTATGGAAACAAACATGAGCTGAGAGGAGGATCGGGATCAGTGGCTGAAAGCTCAGGACATAAAGGATCTCGTTCCTCTTCACATTCTTTCCGTCACACAAATATTTCGTCTCTTCATCGTCTGTCAACGTGAACGTCTGAAACATCTTCGTCCTTTAACGGCCGAGTTTAAACAAAAAGAACTAAAATAATACAAAACGAAGAGAAACATCACAACATTCAAACAGATCTAACAATATAGAACCTGAAGGAAATACCTGAATATATTAAGACTCATCAGTCATCCAGTTAAATATAAATAATTATCTTCATTAAATGTTCTTTTGAAAATCAGAAAACAATAAAAATAAAAACTTAAATACAATTTAATAAAGAAAACAAAATCTAAAAGTATTCATAAAAACTTTTTCTTCTTGATTAAAATATTTATGTAAAATCAATTACCGACACCGACTACGATCAAATAAAAGTCTTCATACAAACAAAGAAAAATGATTTATGAAGAATAATACAATCAAGGAATTCTTCCATAAAATCAACATGAATGATGAACTTCATCATAAAAATCCCAATAAAAACCAAAATGAAGACAAGGATGATGAAGAGCGACCGCTGCCTCGCTCGCTGTTCAAACCTTTATCTGTCATCAGGTCGTCATGATGATGGCTTTGACTGACAGCTGGACCGTCTGAACTCAATCAGCAGAAACATTCCAACATTCCATAAAACTACAAACATGGCTGAAATAATAAAGTCTGCAGCCGCAAAATCAACAATTCATCAGAGATGTTATCTTTATTCAGACTGTACGGTGGCCCACGAGGGCTAATGTGCTGCAAAATGTTTACTTTACTTTGTAATTATGTTGAATTTTGGAAGAAATAAAGTTTTGATTTAATATATTTAAGTTACATTTCAAAGATTGCTTCACGTTTGCGACAGACAAAAATATTATTATGAGTTTACAACTTTTTTTCATCCAAATGTTTCTTCCACAAACTGAAGTGAAGTTTCTCAGTTTTAAGAGTCGATGGCGTTTTATACAAATAAAATAATGTGAATGTGCCGTAAAGTTTTACAACAAGTCATAAAAACTAGTCCCACCGATGGTTTTACGTTCTTCTATTGACCCATAGGGGGCAGCGACGCACCAACAAAGAAGACCAGAAGTAGTAAACAAAGCCTAAAATATAGACTCCATAAGAGTTTGAGGGTTTCTAATAATAACTACTAATAAATACAACTATGGAACTCAGATGTTACTGTAAAAATATTGTCATTTTATTTTAGAAAAACGTGACGGTGCACTTACACATCACAGTTTTAGTTGTTAGTCTAAAATCAACAGCATAGAAAACAACACACAAAGACAGAAGACAGATTTTAAGCCATCGAGTTGCTGCAGAGGTTTGTAGTGTTGAGTGAGGGGGGGTGGGGGGGTCTATAAGAACAAACAAACAAACAGCATCTAAACAACAAACATCAGCTGTCAGTCTATTGGATGGATTTCATCAGATTATTGAGTTTCAGGTCACAGCAACAAACATAGAAAATTCAAGTATTTAAAAACACTATTGGCTGTAATGTGGGTGCTTTTATATTTATATTTATATTAATATATATATATATATATTAATAGTTTTAATATTCCCTTCATTTCATTTTGAGAGTATTTCTAACTTTTAGTACTCAATTATCTTTTTACTTAGTTCACAAAAGTAAATAACTTGTAAAATCATATCGTCTGCAAACTGTTTTAGGTTTTTAACACATATGATGATAAATAACAGTTCCAGGTTTTTTGCATTGAAATTGAAATGTGAGTTAAACCTTGTTGAGCTGTGGACGAATCTCAACATATGAAGTTTCTCTCCAAAGACAGATAAACAAGTCACACCAATCGTATCTGGAGGCAGTTTAAAAGTTTAAAACTGTGGTTAAGATTTCTGAGTGACGAAGCACGAAGACGAAACATAAAGGGGCGTGGCTACACAAGTTCCACATATCCGTTAACACTCCAGCATTGATTAGAAATGTAAACATTGGTGTTTGTTAAGCAGCTGATCGGCAGCTTATTGATCCGAGTTGTCGAGGAAAACTGACGTCAAGGGCTCTGAGAGTCTACGCATCCCAAAGAAGCTAGCAGAGCGGCGAAGGCACTGACGAAGAGGAGTCTGAGTGTCAGAGTCAAACTATCGACCACCAACCAACCTCCAGCGAGGTGTTTGAAGCTACAGCAGCAGGTTCAACAGAAACCCTTTGAGACGAAGCTAAAGACGAAGCGTAAGACAGAGGTTCTCAGAGAGAATATGAGGAAGAGCAGTGAACACAGACTGAAGTGTTAAAAACACAAACAACACAGTATTTACAGGTGAAGACGAGAAGGACAGTTCAGGGGAACTGGAAATAAACTCCTGAACGCTTCGTCACGGTCACAGAAGAAGTCCCAAGAATCAAAGACGAAGGCAGATTTCTGTGGAGACACAGGTGAGGACACTGTAACGTTAAGACTTCTGACCTAAAGAATTAGTCCTATCTTTGTGAGAAAACACACAACAGCAAACGTGGGATTCACAAAAACATGAAACATGAAACATGAATAACAGAGGAGACGTTCGTACCTCGAGGTCTCCGGCTCAGGACTCGCTATGTGGTCGAACTTCCTCTCCTCTCCAGGAATCTGCTCCACAAAACAAGAGCAAACTGGATCAGTTTGGTGGTTTCTGGCCGGCGAGTGAAGTGGTTTCAGGCAGACCTGGTCCAAAACCACAAAGTCTACAATGTGAAAGAGCCCCAAACACAAACAGATGTGTACTTCTGCATGTTTGAGGTTTGTTTGGATATTTGATGCTGTTAGTGGAGCGTCTCCAAAACATTCTGCTATTTTTAAATGTTTCCTGCAAACATTCACTTGTGTCTCTACACATGGAAAACATTTGGTAAATATCTTATTGATATATTATATATTGAGATTAGCTTCTCTGAACCAAAATCCAGGTCTGCATTTGTAGATTTAAACTATTTCGATACGTCTGTTTGTTTCAAGGTGACGTTTGGGGAATCTTGAAGGATTTAATGAGATGATTTAAACTTCTGTAAAAGTGTCTAATAATCATTTTATATGACAGCAGGCTCAGTCTAAAATATCATGATATGTACTTAAACTAAAAGAAAGGTGACTAAAATATGACTAAATCTAAAATGAACAGCTTTACAAACATTAAAACACTCACACTTGCGTCTGTCGCACAAAGTCTGCAAAGTGCTGATCTCTGGCACACAACTCAAGTATCCTAAGACGCTCCTGGACCTCCTGCAGAGAGGTAAAAGGTCAGGAAACATGTCAACAGTGAGGCCGCGAGTGAACCAGACTGAAGGAGGAGGAGGAAGAAAAAGAGGTACAAATACACTGGTGGTGTCTTTGAAGAGAGCAAGATAAGAAAGGTCAAGAGGTGAAAGTATTCTAAATATATAATATATATATAAACTTAAACTGTTTCTCCAAACTCCATCTACTGTAGAGAAGTACCTCATACCCCCCATTCCCTACCTCAAAGTGTATTTATGGTGTACCACAAGGCTCAATGTTGGGACCACTTTAGTTTTCTGTTCATATCAAAATAAAGCTCTACGCTGACGACACTCGGCTGTACGTAGAAACAGTAAAACAAAGAAACTAAGGAGGTATAATATATATAATATATAATATAGGAGACGGTTTTCGTACCTCCTTGGTGAGTGCCTTGTTCTGGTAGATTTGTCGTATCTCGTCGCTGTCGACAGAGCCTCCGTACAGCGGCAGGTCGTCATAGCGACGGTAGTACTGGGCGGTGACCGGGCTGTTCTCGAACGCCGGGTTGAGCTTGTTGGCTCGTTCCAGCGTCGGCACGCTGTCGCCCCGTCTGGAGGGAAACACGTTAGCGTTAACTCGACAAACTATTGGATTAAAACAAAAATTCCCATCAGACAAAAAGTCTGACGGGATCCTTGCCCACCGTAGCGGGTCCTCTGAGTCCCCCCCGTCGTACTGGTCTCGCAGCATCCTCGCGAGGAAGAAGACGATCCCGGCCGCCACCGCGAGGAAGCCGACCACAGAGGCAACGGCGATGCCGACCACCAGCGGCTCGGAGACGAACTCCTCGCAGTGCTCACCGCGGTACCACCAGTTCTCTCCGACCCGACACCTGCAGCGAAGGGTCACGGGTTCAAATCCCAGAGTCACCACCAGGAATATCTATTAATAACTACTTAGTTTTAACTTAAAGGCCAGAATAAATTTAAAGTAACTTAAAACTAGAAAATTAGAAGATCTTGGTTAAATATTTTGTAAAGTTTTGCCAACTCTTAAATCAGAATCTTAAACTGTATGGAAGGAATGTATGTCGTCCTTTGTAATGCAAACAATATATTATATTGTGTTAAATATAGAATGCATTGTGGGCAAGTGGGTTTTTCTTATTCTGTGGTTTATAAAAGAAGAATTGAAGAACGAATTTAAAGGAGTTGTTGCGTTTAAGGAGCTAAAGAAGCTTAAAAAAATGTTGAATGAACAGTGACGAAGAAAGACTAAAACCTCCTCCGACCTGCAGATGGTGCCCTTGCCGGGGATGACGTCACATTTGCCGTCGTTGAGGCAGAAGTCGAGCTGCACCTCGCAGATGCTCTGACACGGCAGGCCGTCTACGCTCAGGTATCCGGCGTCACAAACGCACTCTGCCTCTCCGGACCACCGATTCACCAAACACCTGGAGAAGTCGTTACACGCCTGGAATTTACAGGGGTCGGCCCGGTCACCTGAGGAGGGGGGGGCGAACCAGGGAGACAGAAGAAGAAGAAGACACTTCAGTCGGTTGATAGACGGTTATGATGGTTCTGGTTCTGGATATTCCCTCCACTAGAAAGCAGAGGCGGACTGCCACGCCTGAAATACAGAGCGCCGGACCTCGGGACCAACACCTAGAAACAGCCCTCAGGACTGACCCCGGCACCAGACTCAGAACTGGCCTCAAGGCAGACCCTGGGACCAGACCCTGGGACTGACCTCAAAATAGACCATGAGACCAGACCCTGGAACTGACCTCAAGATAGACCATGAGAACAGACCCTGGAACTGACCTCAAGATCGACCCCGGGACTTACCTTGAGACAGACCCTGGGACTGGATCCCAGGGCAGACCCCGGGACCAGACCCTGGAACTGACCTCGGGACTGACCTCAGAACAGACCATGAGACCAGACCCTGGAACTGACCTAAAGACAGACGCCAGGACTTACCTTGAGACAGACCCTGGGACTGACGCCAGGACAGACCCAGAGACCAGACCCCAGAACCAGAACATGAACTTGATGGAGCACGGAGCTCCACATCACAGTGAGTACATGAACAGATGATTCTCTCATGAATGAGGTGGACTTTATGTCAGACCCAGTATGGTGACCATGTGCTCCTCAGAGTGAAGAGGAGTGATTATCAGCTGACCAGTGACTCACTAGACCAGGCTGTCAGGAGCTCTTCTGATTGGCTCAGACAGATTAAAGAGCTGCAGCTCAGCAGAGACGGAAGGGACAGTAAATCTGATCGAACGTTACGGCGACTCCCTCGGTTTAAAATACACACAACCAAAAGTAAAGGTACACGAGTATCATCAGTAAAATACAGTTAAAGTATTCAAACTATTCTATATTCTATCATTAGATTATTATAACTCAATTATTCATGTAAAACAGGATTTTAGGACTAATTGATTGATTAATAATTTCAGCTGTACTTGTAAAAACTTGTACTTGTGTTTTGATTTCTAAGAACTGAGTTTAATTTTTAAGAAAACAGCAGATTTACATTAAAAACTTCATATGTTTTGTGTGTAAAAATCTTTGTAAAGTAACTAAAGTTGTCGGATAAATGTAGTGAAGTAGTAAGAAGTACAAGTACCTGAGTAAATGTACTTCTCTGCTGCTGCTCACGTTCCTCTCAGACAGATTATCTCAGGTAATAGAGTTACACACTTTCTAACAAGGTCACGACACTTTCAGCTTTACAACGGTCACAATTAGTCAAGTTTACTTATTTAGCCTGAAATAACAAATGTGTCTGCACTTTAAATCCAGATATTAAAGAAAAGCTGAAAACAAAAGGAGAAAGCAGGATCCAGTTTGCGGCTCGAGCTCTTGTCTTGGATTTTTAAAGGACGTAGAAGACACACTTTGCTCAATCAGGCAGGGTCAGTTTATCACTTGTTTATCGATATTAGAATTTAAAAACGTTTAAATCTATATTATATTTAGTCTGTATTATATTAATTATCCATATTATATTTGATATATTTATTTCATAACTATATAATATTAATACATATTTTTAATCTATATTATATTTGATCTATTTTCTTTAATATATATTATATCATATATATTTTATTAAATATGTTAATCTATATAATATATTATGTATTTTTTTTACTATCTATATATATTTTTTTTAATTAGGAAGATCTCAAAAGAAGCAGGAGGATTGTTGATGTTCAGGTCTAGCCCCTCCTCTACTTCGGTCCTACCTGATTCCACGTCCAGCGAGTACTTGTCAATGGCCAGGTTCATGGTCTGGTATGCGGTGTTGGCGAAGTCTTCCAGGATGAGGTACACGACGTTGGTGACCCCTCTGGGAACTGGCTCACCGAACCTCATCCTGCTGTTCACCACGATGCTGCCGTTCCTGAAGTTGAGGATCTCCAGGTTCTTGAAGTTGTTCAGGTTGGACTGAAGGTGCGGGACCAGCTGCGAAGTGAAGACAAAGACGTGAGAGGAGCAGAACATGTGGATCTAGAAGTTTTGATTCAGTCTTTGAGGTCTCACCAGTTGTAGGAACTGTTGCTCCAGGGCTTTGTACTCGGGCGAGCTCTTGTTGAAGAGGTCCATGGAGAACGCCATGTTGGTCACCCTGAGGCTGAAGAACACCGTCAGGGCCCTGCCGGGTCGGGTCGGTAGAGCGACGCCATCCAGGTCCGACCCCTGAGCCCCACTGGAGAATCCGCTGCTGTCACCTTCAGTCGCCATGCCGCCGTACTGGAACAAATCGAAGCTGACGTCGATGCTCGGCACGTCAGATATATCGTGATCGAAGGGTTGGATCTCAGTAGCTGGGGGGTCGTTGTGGACTTCCTGAAGCGAGGTCGTTGTTGTTTGGAGGGTTTCACTACTTGATTCCCTTTCTGAAATATTCGTGGAGGTGGTTAAGACATTTTCCTCCTGAGCTGAAGCTCCTGGAGACATTAGATCACCTTGATGTGATGATGATGGCGTAAAAAGAGGAACACCTGAAGTCGGACTGCTCATTGGAAACTCTTCTTCGTGGTTCAGGTGCTCATGGTGAACCGGTTCCTCGTCCTCCGGTGCCGAATCCAACACGCGGGTGAACGGTGAGTCCTTCTCAGGGGAGAGCGCAATTCTGCCGCTGTGGTCTGAACTCACAGAGGAATTGAGGACTGAAGCGGCAGTTGTCGTCGCGACAATCATGACTTCATCCACAACCAGATCCTCTTCTTGGAGACTGACCGCTGGCGCCGTTGTTATGGTGGGATCAGTGCCGCCGATGTGTTGTTCCACTATAATTTCAACCTCATCCTGGTCTTTGGTTTCTGGCAGCAGCAGGTTAGGTTTTTCAGTGAATATCTGAAGTTCTGCCAGCTGTTCGGTGGTCAAGTCAAAGCTGGGTTCTGACTGGACTCCTACAAAGGTAGGAGACTCTAACACTTCGGTTGAGGAGGTTTCAGTATCTGGGACTTCAACCTCTACCTTTTCGGGTTGATCTTCTTTAGATTCAGACCCAACAGCAGCAGCTGGAAGCTCTACTGCTGCTTCACTAGTTACTTCAACATCTTCAGTGGTTTCTGGAAGCTTGACGGCCGAATCGGTTGGTCCTCTAAAAACAGGGGCGTCGCGAGTCCAGGGTTCAGACTCAAGAGAATCTGTGACTGGAGCCACAAGGGTATGTGGTCTGGTCAAGGAGTAGTCGTCATGGATACCAGATGCCTCCACTGACAGTTTGATGTCCAAGGTTCCTTTGGGGAAGAACACTGGTGCTTCGGTGGTGGTTGAGTGCCGAGGGTCTGTGCTGATATGGGGTGTCATCAAAACCTGGTCCAAGAATGGTTCCTCCAGCAATGATTCTTCAAAAGCAGGAACTGTTGTTTGTAAACGGGGAGCTATGGTGAACTCAACCTCCATAAAAGTTACATCCTGGTTCTCAGTGGCCTCCTCGTACTCGTCCACTGTCTCCTCCAGATCCGGCGGTGGTAGCACCTCAAGGCTGCTGTCCTCGTAGAGGATCTCGTCAGAGGACGCCACTGGCTGCCAGGACCAGAGATCGGCTCCCCGTCCGTCTCCAGAGAAACCAGAACCAGATCCTTCGTCCGGCATGACCTCGGAGCCCGATTGAGGTTTCACCAGCAGTTGGGGGGCGATGGCTGCAGAGGATCCTCCAGGATCCACCTGGTCTCCTCGGGCGACGTGGTCTCCAACCGCCGGATCATTACTCAGGAGGAATCCCTCATCTTCAATATTTCCATCATCTGGAAACCAGAAAAGCAAATGAAGAGTTTTTACGAATACTCTGCTCAGTCACTGATCGTCTGCTCGGTCTCTGATCGTCTGCTCGGTCGCTGATCGTCTGCTCGGTCGCTGATCGTCTGCTCGGTCTCTGATCGTCTGCTCGGTCACTGATCGTCTGCTCGGTCATTGATCGTATGCTCGGTCATTGATCGTATGCTTGTTTACTGATCGTCTGCTCAGTCATTGATCGCCTGCTCACTCTCTCCTTGCAGGTCGAAGGTCTTCTCAGGGAACCCTGCGGCGGCTGGAGGACTCGTGCTCTCTTCAAACATGAAGACGTCGTTCTCGCTCAGCGAGGTGCCCTGAGATTCTTTCCGCTGGTCAAAAGGGTCGAATAGGAAGTCGTCTTTGGTAAGGTCGTCCTCGTGGATCGGAGCGTCGGGAGGCTTCTCTGCAGCGAGGACATTGTCCTGACAGAGGAAAGTTTACTGATATTGACATGAATGATCTTCATTTCTGTGATCGGCTTCTTCTTCTGGTTCACTTTAACTCACCATGTTGTCAAAGGTGTCGGCCGGTCGGCTCGTCGGTTTCTCAGCAGGTAACAAGTTCTCCACTGCAGAAAAGAGTTTGTCAATAACATCCTGTATTGATCTATCAAAGGGCTGCTGGAAGCTTCTTCTTTCTCAAATCTAAACCGAGGATCAAACTGGAACCTTTCACATCATCGTCTTTAACTTTAATGAAAATGTCTTTTCTGGTTAAAATGAAAAATATTATTTTCTAGGAATTAACAAGAAGAAGAAGAAGAAGAATGTTTCGTCCTCTTCCCAACATAATTAATAAAAATAAAACATTGTTTTGTGTCCATCTTTTCTAGAATAAATACATTTAAATTAAGTAAACACTTTATTTTATAGTCCAAATAATTTCCTTGAAAAGCAGCATAGCATTATTCATTTATGATTGGAAACTTTACTCTTCATATATGTTGACAGATGATGAACTTACTAAAGACCGCTGGTCACATTTAATTGTATTTAGTGCCAAATTATTATATCTAGAATCAGGTATTTACAACCTATGAAACAAGTCAATACCTTAAAAACTAGGAGACAGAATGAGACTTTTCTTAAATCTGTATTCATCAGGACCATAAGTTCCATGAATATATTCATATGTGTGGTACCGTTCTCCAGCTGCAGGGCGTCCGGCTGCGTCTCCAGGCTGCTGTTGCTCATGAAGTTGTCCTTGTGCAGAGCCTCCGTGATGTAGTTGCGGAAGTCGGTGATGGTGTAGACGACGGTGGGCTGCTCGGCGGCTCCGGGGTAATTATTCTCCACCAGGTTGTTCTGCAGAGAGATGAAGTCCAGCGTGTCGTTGGTGACACCGCTGCTGCCGTCTACCTCCAGGGTGATGGCGTAGTGGACCAGGACCACCAGACCCCTGAAGGGGGAACGAGACCTGAAGCTGAGAGCTGTATTATAGTGGAAGGTCAGCAGCTGTTTTATGACCTCGTTTCTCAGGAGTGATAAGAGGTTAAGAGAACCAGAACCAGAAGATTTAACCCTATTTAGCCCTCGAGGCTCTACATGCTATAAATATTGAACTATTTAGATTCTACAACCTCTACTTACAGCCTCTCCTCTCTGCTCCTCAGTGTAAGATTCACTGAATTGCTGTCACGTGACTGTTGGAGAATCAATGATGACTTCAGAGATTCACTGAGGAGCTCACAATTTAATGGGGGAGGAGGGGGGGTGAGCCTGTCGTAAACCCAAAACAGTAATCCTGTAACAGCTACAGGAGGCCAACAAGCAGCGAGCGACTTATGCCGGTTGACTATTGTTGAAGGCTTTAAGCTTCAGCTCTTGCTTACTGCTACAGACGG